CTAAGGTTCACTTGATTCAAGCCATGGTCTTTTCCATTGCCTCATAAGCAGAAGAAAACTGGACACAAAAAAGAAAGACCAAAGAAGATGAATGGAAGCATGTGAATTGTGGTATTGTGAAGAATATTGAATATACTGTGGCCTGCCAGGAGAACAAATAAATCAGTCTTAGAAGCAATACAAACAGAGTGCTCCTGAGAAGCGAAGATGGCAAGACTTTGCCTTGCCTACTTTGGACAGATCATAAAAGCAGGACATGATGGTTGGTAGATCGTGCAGCCAATGAGATGGATTGAAACAACAGTCACAGCGATGGACTCGCATTCCGACAATGATGAATATGATGTAGGACTGACTAGGAATGTTTTGTACTGTTATAATAAGGTCATCCTGAGTCAGTCAACTCTACAGCAATTAACAAAAAAGGCAACCCTCAACAGATACAGATAAGCTGATTGGCACTGCAATCTGACAACAAGACATCTGGTATTTAGCCAGGTTTCTTTTTGTAAGGAGCTCTGTACCAGTATTCTGTATACTCAGGCCATCCTATTCATTTCTACACCCTGTCTTTCCCCATTGAGTATCTAGTAGTTCCATCATTAAAGTCTTTGAAGGAAAAGTGTTCTACAGGTTTTCCTTCTTCATCACAATGTGTAAGGACCCAGTGGTAACTGGGATACAGACCTCATGTATCAGGGAATAATGCTGGCAGAACACTACCTAGCGAAAGATTAGGTGCTGGCCTTGGGCAAAACAGAAGCAGTGGGTGGCAGTGAAGGTGTGGTGTGGTGTGGTGTGGGCTGGCAGACTCATACCACATCCCTACAGCCACAACTTCAAGAGTTAGTTCTTGAGCAGATGAAAAACCAGAGCAGATGGAAAACCAAACAAGCAAGACACTGTCTTTCACCAGCAACATTACAGACAGTTTGTCTGGTTCCAAATGGAAACTTAGACCCATCCACCATCTTGAGTTCAGTATCATTAGTTGAGCCAGTTGTGGAGGAGAAAAATAACAGATCTTTATATGAGCTTCACAATTTATTGTTTGCCTCGCATGTTTATGAATTCCTTCTCAATTAATCTTTGAAGGTGTTTTAGCCTCAGAAAAATCCCAAGTTTTTAAATGAAAAAGTCGAAACTCAAATTGAGGTCCTTTGGTTCTGGCTCATGTTTTTTCCTGTTGTTGTTAGGTGCCATCCAGTCAGTTCCAACTTGTTGTGGTGGTGGTGTGCCATGGAGTCAGTTCCAACTCATAGCGACACTGCATAGGGTTTCTGAGACTGTAAATCTTTAGAAGACCAGAAAGCCTCATCTTTCTTCCATGGAAGGGCTGGCAGTTTTGAACTTCTGACCTTGAGATTAGCAGTCCAATTCGTACCAACTACATTACCAGAGCTCCCTGTATAGGGATTCCAAGGAACAGCTGGTGGGTTTGAACAACCGACCTTTTGGTTAGCAGTCCAGTGCTTATCCTATAGCACCATACCAAGAGTCCATTCAAAGCACTTATGTAACTCAAACATATTATAGGAACTTTGACCAATGGGGCCCTTTAGAAATTTGGTGGTACTTGTAAGGCAAGGCAAACGGCAAGGGCAGAGAATGAAAATATAAAACAGTACTTCTTTGCTTTCTGAAAGAAGAAATGCAAATTTATTAATCAGCCCATAAATGTAGGTGGTCCCTGGGCGGTGCAAACAGTTAACATGCTTGGTTGCTAACTGATAGGTTGGAGCTCCAAGTCCACCCAGAGAAGTCTTAAAAGAAAAGCCTGCAACTACTTCCAAAAATAAGCCCCTGACACACATGGGGTGCCGTGAATTGGAATCCACTCCATGCCAACTGATACCAGTGGTAAATGCAGGTTACATTTTTAACAAGGTAGGTAAAGATAGTCGTTTTTATTCTTATGAGTTCAATGATATAAGAACAAAAAAGCAAGCTATACAATAAGCATTAACTGACCATTACTGAGATATTAGGAACAGAGTCTACTTCACAGGTGGATGGAAACAACTGGGGCCAAAATGGGCTTAAGGGAATCTTTGTCTCTCTGTGTAGGAGGCGCTCCTAAAATTATTTCTAGAAGGGAGGCCTAGTCACAGATTAATATGAAATCAATCATTCCTTTAGCCCGTGGAACCTGTGGTCCTATGAGGCAGGACCTTCTAGTAAACATTTATCAGATCTGCTCACCCAGAGTGAAGGCACAGGGCTTTCCCTGGTCGGGACCCTACTCTTAGGACCCCGACCTTTCACATTAGAAAAAGAAACAAAAAATAATTGTGGCTGTTGAGTGAACTCTGACTCACAGTGCCCCCATGTGCTATAGAGAACAACTTCACATGGTTTTCTTAGCCATGTTCTTCTGAGTGGGTTAGAACCATAAACCTTTCCGTTAGCAGCCATCTGCAAACCATCGGTGCCACCCAGGGTCATTTACAAAGATTATGTAAAAAAAAAGTTTTTGCAGTTTTGTTTAAGCAACTTTTAAGTTTTGCATATCCTAGAAGGCAAAGGGAAAAAATGATCACCATTTGCCACCTAGGAAGTGAAACACTAAGGGGTTACATAATGAAGATAAGATCCTTGAATAGCTAGGTAATGAGGAGCTCTGGTAGCGTAGTGGTTACCAGGTGGGCTTCTAACTTCAAGGTCAGCAGTTCAAAACTACCAGCTGTTCTGTGGGAGAAAGATGAGGCTTTCTGCTCCCATAAAGATTTACAGCCTTGGAAACCCTGAACAGGATTGATATGAGTCAGAACCGACTCCACAGCACACCACCACCACCACCGACTGCAAATTTAAAGGTGCAGGTTCCAATCTGAGGTTCCAACTCTAATTTACACTTTTTCTTGAGATTACATTTGTCTTTTACCGACCTCTCAAGTAGCCATTATACTTGTTTTGTGTTTTTTTAAGTGTTGGTTGCTGTTGCTTTACTTCCCTTCTGCTAAAGCACTCTTATTTTTAATGTATTCTACATGATCTCCAGAACCCCATGCAATTTTGTTCTTCTATAATAACTCCAAAGTTAAGATGAAATCTAGCTTTGGGGTGTCTCCTCGTAGCAGAACAAAATGTCTCTGAAAAGAAAAAAAAACTCAACTTACCCCATAGAACAAACCGAAATAGGGAGAGATGTTGGGTTTAAACACACTGATGAGGGATAAGAGCTCATCCTTGTAGCCCCAGAGCAGCTCGTGGACAGTGTGTATCACAAACAGCTTCTGTTGGTAGGCCTTCATGATGACCACGATGAGACTCCTGAGGAAGTGTTTCTGGCTCCATTCCATGGCACTCTGAGGAGAAAAGGAAAACTTAGATAGTAGTAGCTGCTCCAACACCCCCCGCCCCAACTGTCTTCTTCTATTCCTTCAGCATAGGGAAACTTGTGTTGAGAGTCAATGGGTGAAAAAGGAGCTTGCAAACTTCTCTCTGGCTTTTGTGCATGTGGAAGGATAAGACCCTTCTGTTGTCTTTTCTCGATATTGCACTTCTAAGGGTGATCTGAGCATCTGCAGCTGCATGCCCTGTGAGTTATCTTGTTGTTGTCCATCGCTATTGAGTTGATTCTGATTCATGGAGACCTGGTGAGTGCAGAGTTTTGACCTTTTGGAAGTAGAGAATCAGACCTATCTTCCAAGACACACCTAGGTGGGTTCACGCTGTCATCTTTCAGCTAGTGGTTAAGCATTAGTAGTTTTAGCTAGTAGTTAACCGTTTGTGACGCCCAAGGTTATAAAGCAAAAAACCAATCCAAACCAAAAAACCACTGCCATCTAATCAACTCCTAGCAAGCAACTCTACAGGACAGAGTAAAACTACTCCTTAGTTTCCCAGACTAAATCTCATCATTCTCTCTCGGAGTAGCTGGTGGGTTTGAACCACCATCATTGAGATTAGCAGACCACCAATTACTCCACCGCAGCACCAGGGTTCTTTCTGATGTTACAGTGAAAGAGAAAAAGCTCTTGTGACTACACTGACATCTCTGGCCACAAGGTGGCGCCATAGTACTCCTGAGCAGGGCCAGAGCTGAGTCTTCATGAGCCACTAGCAAGAGGATAGGGCTCTAGCTGACATCTACACCTTCAAGTCCTGAGTCCACTTAAGTATGTAGTGGTTACCTAGGAGTCCTGGTGTGATAAGCACTGGATTGCAAAGTTGGTTTGAACCACAAGGTCGGCAGTTCAACTTCACCAGCTGCTCTTTGGAAACCCTAGACAGGGTTGCTATGAGTCGGAAATGACTCGACAGCGCATAACAATAATTTAGAAATTGGAGTCCTGATGTGATGCTATAGGATAAGCATTGGATTACTAACCACAAGGTCAGCAGTTCAAACCCACCAGTTCACCATTCGCTTCTAGGAAATCCTACACAAGGTCACTATGAGTTGGAACCAACCTGATGGCACTAAATAACAACACAACCTAGGAATTAAGGTGGGAATCTCCAAGGGTGCTGTTGTAGGTAAAGAAAGCTGATGTTTGTAGTGTAGGTGATATTAGTAGATGGATTTGTCATTATAAAGAGAGTCTAAATCACAGTAGGTTGCAATTAACATATCAGTCTCTGTTGTTTGGAAAGGAGAAAAAAGTCAATATATGTCCTTATATGTCCTTTTTAAAAAAAAAAAACAAAAAAAAAACGCTTTTTATTGTGAATTGAGTGTAGGTTTGTGAACTAGATCGTCAATTTTACATTCTACAATTCACACACTTTGTCTCATCTCAATGATGGCTATCCCCTCCATGAAATAATAGTTCTCCCACTTCCTCCCTGTGGATCCTAGTTCCACTCCACCCACCTTCCCATTCCTTCTCAACTGTCCTTAGGAAAATGTTGCCCTTTTGATTTTGCATGACTGACCATTCCATGGTGAGCATACTTTGCTAGTGTTCCTGTCCCCATCTATACACCTATCTACTGCTTGGGTGAAAATTGAGCAACGAGGGTGAGTTTCTTTCCACACCTGAAGGGTGGTCAAGGGCACAGTCTCAGGTTCCTCTAGACTCTTTCTGACCAGTTAGCCTAGTGTTTTTGTTTTTGTTTTTTTTAAATAATTTTGAGCTTTGTTTCACCTTTTCTCCCACTCTATCCAGGACCTTCTAATGTGATCCCTTTCAAAGCAGTTGGCAGTAGTAACCGGGCAGCATCTAGTTCTGCTGGTCTCAGAGTCATAGAGACAGATGTTCACATATTCCCTTAGCCCATTGGACTAATAGAGTCCAAGCCTCTTCAGTTCTCATCACTCTTATTTCTTCCACACATGGAGAGATCAGTAGCTGCACATTAAATGACCACTCATGAGCTTTTAAGATCCCAGATGCTACTCATCAAAGGAGACTATAGAATACTGTCTGTGTGGACGATGCTATGCCAATTGACCATGCTGTCCCCTGAGACTAGGGTCTGAGTCCACAGGCCCAGCAACTCATTGTCTTAAGAAGTTTGATACTATCTAAGAAGTTTCATCTATCATGCTTGGTAAGGTGGAGGGTCAGAGAAAAAGAGGAAGACCCCCAGCAAGATGGATTGGCCAAGTGGCAGCATCAATGAGCTCAAGCATGGCAACAATTGTGAGGTTAGCCCAGGATCGGGCAGTGTTTCATTCTGTTGTGCATAGGGTCGCTATGAGTCGGTACTGACTCGATGGCACTTAACAACAACAATGCTCTACCACATTCATAGTTTGTAGGAAAGGTAAACACCCAAGTACAAATAAATATCCTCTTTTAAACTCATGTATTTGTGGGAATACACTTCCTCTCCCTCCCATTCACCCTGTGTCTCTGTCCATGTAGCTACACACAGAACACTATTGTTTCAAAGGTGTGTATATAACAGTATTTACCTCTGACCCCCTCAGCCCTTGCATACCTCCCTGTCTTCACCTGCCTTCGTCATTCTTCTGCCAACCTCCATTTTCTAGTCAATACATAGTCTGAAATCTTGAACTCTAAGACAGAAATCTGAACTAGGGAGTGATATGAAAATTAAATTTCTAGAGTTTCTCGACCAAAGTAAGACAAATATTTTTGAAATTATTGTTTGTGTTATAGTTATTAGTTGCTGTGGAGTCGATTGTGATGCCTGGTAACCCTTTGTGCGCAGAGTAGAAGTGCTCTGTAGAGCTTTCAAGGCAGATTGCCAGGGCTGTCTTCTGAGGTGCCTCTGGGTGGGTTTGAACCATCGACCTTTTGGCTAGCTGTTCAGCATTTAACCATTTGTGCCATCCAGGGAAAATCCTATTTACTTGCAGAAGTGCTGATCCTGAACACCCAGTAGGAGATAGTGAAAACAAATCTTAAATTCGCATTCTGTTACCCTTTGGTAAGATTTTAGTTATTAAACCTCAGGAAAAAAGTATATATAAATAAATTTTCCATTTCCTTCCTTTTAGATATGAGGTCCTGGTGTGGTGCTATATAATAAGCACTTATTAATCAGAAGGTCAGTGGTTCAAACCCACTATCCACTCCACAGAAGCCCTATACAGGATTGCTATGGGTTGAACTGATGCGACAGCAGTTAGCAACAATAATATATATATATATATACTTTAAAAACCTAACTTAACAGCTCCTAAATGTAAAACCATAAGAGACATAGCTTTTTCCTTTCTTCTAAAATCAACAGTAACAAGACTAAAATGCCTACTTACCACTACAGGAATATTTAGTGTTCTAATCAAATCAATTTTAGGGTCTCCGATAGATAGATTTCGTTCAAAAACATAGGCCTTGTTGCTAACAGCAGATACTGTTGTTCCATTGCTCCCAAATTGTATATTTTCTTTGTCTCTGAGCTCCCTAAAAGAAAGAGAAGGATGTTGTTTGAAAATAGGCACCATTATAATAAGCAAGAGTTTTTCTTTCTTTCAACATTAAAGTTCCTTTTAATACAACATTCCCCATATACTCATTATAGACTTTTATTTCAGCTTTAAAATAACATTTCCAATATAACTATTATTGAGAGGGACTCCAGCTACTCACCCTGGAAAAACAGATTAAAGCTATGATATCAGAAGAAAATAAAGCCTAGGAGAGAGTCTTCTTTAAAAACTTTCGTTTTAATTCTATCCCTCCACAATTTGGGAAATACAACAGTCTCAGGTTATCTTGACCAAAGAATCTTAATTAATGATTTGGAAAATACAAGAGTCTCAGGTTATCTTGACCAGAGAATCTTAATTAATGAGCTCTTTCCTGGGTTATGTTTGGCCCTGAGATAGTTTAATATTTTTCAATTGAGTTTATAGATCTTGTTTGGATTTCAATTTGTTTATCAGTTTTTGTTTTTTTTCTCTCCTCTACCTCTGGTAGCACAGTGGTTATGAGTCAAGTTGCTAACCTCAAAGTCAGCAGTTCGAAACTACCAGCCAATCCGCAGGAGAAAGATGAGGCTTTCTGCTTCTGTAAAGATTTATAGCCTTGGAAGCCCTATTCATGGTCACTATGAGTCGGAACCAACTCTATGGCACACCACCACCTTGAATTCTGTTGAAAATTCATTTTAAAAATGAAAGATTTAGTAAATGAAGACAGTTCACTCCTTTAAACATGTTTTTAATATGTGTGTGTAGTAAAAAATATATAATACTATTTGCCATTTTGACCATTTTTAAGGATACAATTCAGTGGCATTACTTAGGTTCACAATGTTGTGCATTCATTACCACTATTTGTTACCAAGACTTTTTCATGATCCCAAACAGAAATTCCATACCATTAAGTATTCACTCTTCTTTTCCCCTTCCACCAGACCTGTCGGGGACTGTCCTCGACATAATTGTGTTGTTCACGAGTGTTTGGTTCACAAGGAGGGGAGATCCAGTGGCGATAGAGATAGTGAAAGAATACACAGAAAGACAGAAGGAGGGGGACAAAGAGACACCCCAAAGCCAGGGTGGATGCATCACTGGTGGGCAGACTTGGGACAACAGGCATCGTGGCTTCTGCAGGCAGCAACTCACTGCCCTGCAAACTTTACTGCATGCCCTCCAACCCGTAATGCACAC